GATGCCAAGTCATCTGGACCCTTTATAAAAAGAATATGGCCTTGTTGGAACTAGGCGATATCCAATAATAAAATCCCAACACAAAACATTGAACCTTATTCTTTGTGGGAGCTATTTAAATTCTCATGCCCTGGAGATATAAAGGGATAACTGAGTAATCGCTCACATACAAAAATTAAATGTTCTCATTTCATTTTCCTTTGATTTATTGGCCTCTTAGACAAGAACATATGCTCCAGACACAGCTCATTGATTTCAATTCTGAAACAAAAAGAAAAAGCAATAGATTTTGCTTCATGATTATGGCTGCTACGTATTTTCTTGTATTTTAAAACAATCAAAGATATTGTTTTACAACAACTTATTTCCTACAATTGATTTTTAAAAAATACCACTTTCAATAATATATAAATGTTTTGTCAATATAATTCTGTTTTTTGATTGATGACAGAACAAGACAGTCTAGTTACCAAAAGTCTTAGCAGCTGTCCTAAGCACAGTGGCTAATTTCCTGTACACTAAGACTGTTCATGTACAAATGTGCATCGAGTAGGGGTGTTCAAAGGGTAGGCTCCACTACAGTATAATAGTGCTGCCTCACAGCAAGGTAGTGCCAAAATGGTGATGGCACTGGATATGAATCACGTCACTGGCACTGCCCAAAGGGGATAGACTTGCCCAGAAAGGTGTCTAATGATCTGTTGTCACTATATCTTAGGTACATTTCCTTGGTGTCCCCAAAATCTGGTTACCAAGGGCCAAAATCAGGAGACTTGGACAGTACCCTAAAATATCAGTGACAGTTGGGAGGCCTGCGAGTTACTCTGCATGTTGAATAGTAGTTCTTCTGTTAAAGTTTATGGGAACATTGCTAGTAAGTAAGCAGACTAAACCCTTACCCCACTAAGAGAATCCATCCCATGATATAATTAAACTTTTTGTTTGTTTTTTTAAATTCCCAAACGGAACAATGCCCACACGGAAAATGCCCACATGGAAAAAAGCCCAGACAGAAAAATGCCCACACTGAATAATATGCACATGTAGTAATTTTCCCATTTATGAGCATGGGTTACCTACATTTTATTTTGTTATGGATATCTTATGACTAAAATATCTCATATTCATATGCAAAAAATTGCATTTTGAATTTAGAATGTAAAATTAAAAAAATATTTTGCTATTTTATGAGTATACTAATTCACTGCTAAACAAAAAGTGGCCTGTGTATGTAGAGGGCTTTAACCCCCTCAGGGACAGAGGCAATTGTACAAAAAAAAAAAGTTCTGACCAAAACTAAACCTAGAATTTGAGCTATATATGTCTGTTCAACTATACTTTACCTCTTTTATATTAAGTGTACCCACAATTACTATATTTATTTTTTTCAGGAGAAACACATTTTTTATTTTACATCAAATATTAATTTATATATGATATATAATTTCATTTGAAGAAAATCTAAAAAAGTGTGAGATAGTAAGAAATGCGGCTATTTTTCATCTTCTGCAAGGTATTTTAACTGTGAATGTCAAACTACTCTCAGCTTTTAATGAAATAAAACAGATCTATTTGTATGCTGTGAGGTCCCATGCAAACAACTATGCCCCCTATGTACAGGTTTCATCATGTTTTGGAAAGTTACAGGGTCAAATAAAGAGCTTGCCCATTGCAGTTTTACACATTGAAATTTGCCAGATTGGTTGGCTGGGCCACAGTTTGTTTATCAGTGAATTAGTATACTTATAATATAAAATCACAATGAAAATTGTTGCATATAAATATGAGATATTTTAATCATAAGATATTGTTAACAAAATAAAATGTTGGTAATATAGATATTCATGCTCATAAATGGTAAAATTACTACATGTGCATTTTATTCAGTGTGGGCATTTTTCTTTGTGGGCTTTATTCTGTGTGGGCTTTTTTCCGTGTGGGCGTTTTTCTGTGTGGACATTTTTCTTGTGGGCATTTATGACAGTGAGTTTTTTTCTGTGTGCAATTTTCATGTGGGCATTTTTCATTTGAGCTTTTTGCATAGAACCTACAAGAACATAGCAGATGAGCTGAAGCTTGCACAGAAGCTTTCATCACGTTCCACATTATTGTTTGTGTTGTTCAGACGTACAATTTATACAGTATTATGTAATTTAGTAAAACATAGACTGGTGACCTGTGCCTCAAAGCATGAATACAAATACATACCGTCAAAGATTTTGTATAAAAAACATATAAGAAAATAAAACAGCGAAAAAGCAACATTAAATATTAACATCGGAAGTTATTATACTCTGTCAGACCATAACCGGGTGTACCTGAGTTATCTAGAGTTTTCCACTTAATAAAAGCATACTTAAAGGCAGGGCATTAGAAGCTACAATTCAAGCTTAGAGCAACTTCAGTTGGGTTATAAGTAGAGTTGAGCAAACTCGGACTGTAAAGTTCGGTTTCATACCGAACATTCCGTTTTTGGACCCCGGACCCAAAACGGGCATATCACTGTATGTTCTGGTTGGAGTTCGGTGTTCAAAGGCTGGGCAGCCAGTCAACAAGCGTTTGACTCATGTGCTCTTAGAAGACATCACAGCCATGCCTACTAATGGCATGGCTGTGATTGGCCAGTACAGCATATGACCCAACCTCTATATTAAGCTGGAGTCGCGTAGCACCGCACGCACATGATCTCTTATTAGTGTAGGGAGAGGATGCTGCTGCTGTGAGGGACAGCTTAGGAAATAATTCTGCAAACTAGTACATTAGTGGGGTGCACTTCATATCTGAGAGTCAAATAGAAGCGTCAAATACTGCTGTCACATTGCAGTTTTAAAACTTTAAATTTTTTGGGTGCTAAATTGCTAAATAGTATTTTAGTGGGGTGCACTTCATATCTGAGAGTCAAATAGAAGCGTCAAATAGTGCGCTTACAGCGCAGTTGTAAACATTCTAATTTTCTGGGTGCTAATCTGCTAAATAATAAATTTTGGGGCCTGCTCTTCATATCTGAGAGTCAAATCAAAGCGTCTAATAGTGCGCTTGTAAACATTCTAATTGTTTTGCTGCTAATCTGCTAAATAGTACATTTTGGGGCGTGCACTTCATATCTGAGAGTCAAATTGAAGCGTCTAATAGTACGCTTACAGCGCACTTGTAAACATTCTAATTATTTTGCTGCTAATCTGCTAAAAAGTACATTTTGGGGCGTGCACTTCGTATCTGAGAGTCAAATAGAAGTGTCTAATAGTGCGCTTACAGCGCAGTTGTAAACATTCTAATTTTCTGGGTGCTAATCTGCTAAATAGTACATTTTGGAGCCTGCTCTTCGTATCTGAGAGTCAAATCGAAGCGTCTATTAGTGCGCTTACAGCGCACTTGTGAAAATTATAATTTTCTGTGTGCTAATCTGCTAAATAGTACATTTTGGGGCCTGCTCTTCATATCTGAGAGTCAAATTGAAGTGTCTAATAGTGCGCTAACAGCGCGCTTGTAAACATTCTAATTGTTTTGCTGCTAATCTGCTAAATAGTAAATTTTGGGCGTGATCTTCATATCTGAGAGTCAAATCGAAGCGTCTAATAGTGCGCTTACAGCGCACTTGTAAACATAATTTTCTGGGTGCTAATCTGCTAAATAGTACATTTTGGGGCGTGCACTTCATATCTGAGAGTCAAATCGAAGCGTCTAATAGTGCGCTTACAGCGCACTTGTAAACATTCTAATTGTTTTGCTGCTAATCTGCTAAATAGTAAATTTTGGGGCGTGCTCTTCATATCTGAGAGTCAAATCGAAGCGTAACTTTGATTCAAATTTACTACATCGGTCACTTGTAATATTGTTTCACACCTACAACACTTGTTACACAGATCTAAGTGGTAGAAAACAGATTGATATTTTCTACACTAGAAACTACCAGATAACAAGCTGCTATATTTAAACCAGTTATCAATAGCTTAGAGGTACTTAAACAATATTGTAATTCTGGGGCAATAACCTCACAAGTCAAACTAAGAGGTCAGTTTATAGGGAAAACTGTTGCCTGGATACAATTCTAAAACAATTTCCATATGTTCTTTGCAGACTTTACATACTGGAAAAACACAGGTGCCAACTGCTATTGCTTTCTGCAGTGTGCATACTGGCAAGGAGGGCAGGGTTGAGTAGTGGGTGGAAGATGATGTGGAGGATGATGAGGTCCTAGACCCCACATGGAATCAAGGTCATGTGAGTGACGTGTGCAGTTTGGAAGAAGAGGCGCTGGTCGCACATAGGCACCAGCACAGCATAAGAGGGAGCAGGGTGCAAAAGCGGAGCGGCCGTCCCCAGCACTCGTCGGCACGTATTAGCTCGAGAATTACCAGTTATCTAAGTAATAGATGTAGCGATCAAAGGATCCATAATAGAGTTGAGCGAACACGAACTGCAAAGGGTTTGTACCAGATTTAACGATCCATTCGTAGTTTCACAGTCAGGTGGGCAGTCCGGTGACCGGGACCCAGAATGTATGATGTTGAAGTTAGGAGTCACAGTGTGGAATGGATTAGCAGGGTCTGGTACAGGGTAACCGCACTCCCCCTGGTGTTGAGCACCAGCGTTTGTGCGGCCACATACCAGGACCCTGATGCAGCTTCAGTAACAACAGTACTGAATACCAGAAGCCACCACCAGACTGATCCACAACTTGGAACAGGATGTGACATTCACTGTAGCGGATGTGCGCGTTTTCGGCGTTCTCACCCTGCTGCTGCTCGCCTGTCTGCGCTGCAGCGTAACTTTGGCCTTCTCGCTCACTGCCTCAAATGCGACATGCCCACAAGGTGGAACTCCACCTTGCACATGCTGGAGAGACTGTGCGAGCAGCAGCAGGCGATAGTGGAGTTTCAGCTGCAGCACGCACGGGTCAGTGGCTCTACACCAGACTTCTCTCCAATTGATCAGAGTTAAAGGATTTCTAGTGGACTCATTACAATTATAGGGCCTCTAAAGAGTCCTGTATTGTTATTTGTCGTCACTACCTTCCCGCGTCGTGAGTGGGTCATTTGCGTGCCTGATGCCTTCCTTGCATGTGGTAGCCGTTTGTCAGGGTCCCTGTATGGAATGGAACCCTGGTTACCCATGGTCACCGTGGTAGGCGCAGTCAATGGCATTGAAAGTTGATATGGATTGAAATACGAATGTGTTGTCGCCTTCTCGTTGGGGAGCACATTGAAAAAGTGCTACCCCAATTAAAATAAAAATTGTTGGCTACCTCCTCCTCCTCCACCGCCGCTTCCACCTACATGGTCACCAGAGGCAGAGGCTTGTGAAGGCCTTTTCTCCATGAATCAGGAGTTGAGCATTTCTCCATGCATCAAGACTGCAAGAAATGCACCGCAGGCCACAAATGTTTCTTTTTTTGTATGTCCCAATATTTTGGGGGCTACCCCAATTAAAATAAAAAATAGATATACATAAACAGTGTTGGCTACCTCATCCTCCTCCTCTGCCGCTTCCACCGTCACCGCCTCCTCAACCTGTGTGTCACTTAGTATAAACTATGTACACAATAGCAAAGGCTTGTGAAGGCCTTTCTCCGTGCATCAGGAGTTGAGCATTTCTCCATACATCAGGACTGCAAGAAATGCACCGCAGGCCGCAAATGCTCCATTTTTGTATGTCCCAATATTTTGGGGGCTACCCCAATTAAAATAAAAAATAGATGTATATAAACAGTGTTGGCTACCTCCTCCACTGCCGCTTCCACCTACACCGCCACTGTCACCGCCTCCTCAACCTATGGGTCACGTAGTATAAACTATGTACACAATAGCAGAGGCTTGTGAAGGCCTTTTCTCCATGCATCAGGAGTTGAGCTCAGTTTGAACAATTAAAGAGAATACCCTGCACTCCAACTCTCTCTCAAATGGATAATTCTGGTGATCCTCCTGACAGCCATGCTTTAGATTTTGATTTATGTTCTTCCAAAGCTAAAATCAAAGATTCCATCTAGTGCTATTTTATGGCTCAGCTGTATTTTAAGTTTTTATGTTATTTTAAGTGATTTCCCTATCCACGTTTGTTTGCAGGGCACTTGTCCTACTCTTACTTTTGTGGCCAAAAGTTCGGATCCCCATTTTTTTCAAAGTTCGGCCGAACTTGCCGGACCCGAACATCCAGGTGTCAACTCTAGTTATAAGTTACAATAATAAGCTTAATTTGGTCTTGAAAATGGTGCTGGTAACTAGTGCTTATACCAAGAGGCAGCTCATCCCGAAACCACCCATGCTAACCTGGGTAAATCAACGGTCCGCTCCCCCCCTTGAGCCCCCTGAGAGACCAGCAGGCAAAACTCCTTTTTGGGCCCAGAGCCATGCCCCCGGCTAAAATCCATCAGAGAGGACCCGGGCAGTGGACCTATAGTCCAATCACAGGAGCCTACTTGCCACACACTAGAACTGACACTTCACAGATGCACACCACCAGTTGTGACCTTTTTCATAATGGAAGATGTGTATGTACATTTATCCCTATCAACTCATATATTCTATTTTGGACTGAGAAGAAATTGTCAGCAGGAATTTTACTAATAATATGGCTGACAGCTCCAAGGAATATATTTGCATTTAATAAATATACATTTTATATGCATTTTTTTTAAATTCTTAATTTTTTTTATTGTGCATTTTTTTTTAAAAATAACAAAAAATTAGACATTACACTACCACAATATATATATTGACATGTACATATTATATTCCTTTGATTCATCCTACATTCATACCAACGACCAAGAAGAAAAATATAAACCACCTAACCAACTAGACCATCTTTAATCACTTTATTTAAACCTGTTTCCCATTTCTCCCATAACTCAGATGTCTCTTTTATAAATTTAATATAGCCCTTTTCCATTTTTAATTGGAATAATATTTGAGTGCACAATTGAGAGACAGTAAACTCGTTTCCTCCTTTCCAATTTCTTGCTATTATTATTTTTACGGCAATCAGACAGTGGGTTATCAGAAACTAGTCCGTCTGCTTCAATTTTGGCCAATGTAATTGTAATAACATTACTACGAGAGTTTTGGGGAATTTAACCTCACATAACCTAAATATAATGTTTTGAGCCCAGTACCATATTACCAAAAACTTTGTACAGGCCCACCACATATGAACATAACTACCAGTAACACGTCCACAGTATCTTGAACAAACTTAAATATTCTTGATGGAGTCATGTACCATAAATTAATAATTTTAAAGGGGGTTTCTATAAGAGAAAGTGAGTTAATTAATTTATTAATTTTAACACTAGAAGATATGAAATCTTTTTCATCTATGAAGGAGTTATAGAAATATTACATGCTCCAATTAATTTTACACAACGTGAGAATATTTTCTTTGATCTGTCCCCTTGTAACAGTCCTTTGATTATATTGTAAATAATACCTTCTGAAATCAAATCCACCCTTTCTAAAAAATGTTGAAGTCTAATATATGTAAACATTTCGGCAACTGTCAGTTGGAATTCTTGTGCCAGCCTCTTAAACAACTTTAATCTATTATTTAGAATGAAGTCTTTAATTGTGATTATATTTATTTTATTCCATATAGGCGATATTTGTTTTCATATAAAGGAATTAAAGAAATTGCAATTTTTTGTATTCCATATTAGGTCTATTGAATTATTAATTTGACAGACTTCCCTTTCCATGTTAAAGCAAGCCTCATTTTCTATTTGATTTTGTTGGCATATCATTATGTGTGATACTATTCCGGCTTCATAATATTTATTAATATCAGGAGAACCAAATCCTCCATTTTTACTGTCTCTGAATATTAATGAGTTTTTTATTTCTTGGCTTTTTTCCTCTCTATACAAAGTTGGAAAAAACGGTTTAAACCATTGTCAGCCAAGGCGAGGAGATGGCTATAGGCAGCATCCTAAACAAGTATATTCACTTAGGGAGTATGTACGACCTCAGGATGTTTATCCTGCCACCCAAGATACCTCTAGATTACTCCATTCTTTAAGATTTGTATTGGTATCTTTCAGAAGATCCATAAAATTAATCTGCATTGTTCTGTCTAAATTCCCATAAAACTTAATTTCCAAATAAACAAAAGTTTTCTGAAGTAAAAAAACATATCTATCCTGGTATTTGTCTATGTCGTTTTTCAAGACATTTATATACAATGCTTTTGATTTTGTTTTGATTTGTTTGTAATTTAAGACTACACTGTAAGCATCTAACTCTTGCAGGATTAGCTAGATATAATATAATATCATCAGCATAAAGTGACAATTTTAGTTCGTTAGTTGATATTTTATGAGCTCTGATCAGCGTATTCTGTCTAATTCTCCTAGCCATTACTTTTATAGTTAAAATATAAAGAATGGGGGATAGCGGACACCCCTGTCTGGTTCTGTTTTTAGTTTAAACCATTTTGAACAATTATTGGGGCCTATCATTCTAGTCATTGGAGATATATATAATGCTAATTTTGCCATTAAAATCCAGCCCATAATGCCAAATGTCTCCAAAGTGCAATTCATAAAGGCCCAGCTGACCCTGTCAAAAGCCTTCTCGGCATCTAGTGACAGGATCAGCATGGGTTTTATCTTTTGTTGTGATATATCTATTACATTGCTCAATATTAATATCAATCTCAAGCTTAATATTATTATTAACCATTCTATCAGGAACAGAGCCTATCTGGTCAGAGTGGATTAAAAAAAGGTTCAATACATTTTTTAATCTGTGTGATATGATAGAAAATATCTTGATATCTACGTTAAAAAGTGAGATTGGACGATAGTTTTTTACGTCTGTTGGATCTTTTCCTAGCTTGAGTATTGGTAAAATATTTGCTTTAAGCATCTAATTTAGGAATCTACCTTTGGAGACAGCGTTATTAAATGAATTTTTCAGATGGTCTGCAATTAGGGCTTTCATTTCTTTATAGAATTTATTGCCAAAACCATCTGGTCCTGGTGTTTTGTAATTTTCTAAACTATCTATAGTTTTTATAATCTCTTCTTTAGATATTTCTTTGTTTCGTTTAATCAGATGTTCATTTGATAATCTTGAAAGATTGGCCTCTTTAATATACGCCTTAATCTAATCACATGATGAGGGTCTGCTAAATTATATAATTTTGAATAATATTCATTAAAGGCCTCTCCTATATCTTCTGGTGTTACGCATGTCTTGCTGTTCAGAATTATTTTTTCTACAGAATTATTGGAATTTATTTTCTTAAGCATATTTGTTAGTATCTTACCTGCCTTATTGTATTTATGATAATATTTGATATTTACTTTTATCATTTTTTTTTATTCTTTCAAATATTTTATCTTGAATCTCTTTTTTAATATTCATTATTTTGATCTGGTTATCTCTAGACTGATTGGAGTAATTTGCCCTATGTATATTATATAATTCTATATAAAATTCTGGCACCTATTTTTTTTATCTCTTAATTTCTTTAGTTTAATGCAATGGCCTCTGCTTTATAAGAACACCATAAGATGTCATCCTCTACCTTTTCCTTTTTATTTTCTAGAAAATGAAAGTTTGTCATTTTTTTTCTAAATAATCTTTATGTTCTTTGTTTTGTAATACGGTCTCGTCCAGTCTTCATGTTGTTTTGTCATGCCATCTATTTTTACTACTTTTTAATTCCAGAATTATGCTATTATGGTCTGAAAATGGCATAGGTTTAATTTCCATTTTCTGAGTTCTCTCTAATAGTTTTAATTCCCCTCAAATATAATCTATTTTGGAATATGAGTCATGGGGCCATGAGTAAAACATATATTATTTTGTTAAAGAGTTATTAATTCTCCATATAGTGTATAGAGCTTCTTTTTTCATTAAATTATTAAATATTTTGAAATTTTTTTGAATACTTTTATCAATACAATTTTTATTATGTGAAAATTTGTCTAGAAAAAGACTGTGAATGCTATTGAAACCGCCTGCTATAATCTTAAGACCCACACTCACCTTTTCCACTTTGTTTAGTAGTATCTGTCTCAAGAGACTCATTGGATTTTAGTTAGGAAGGTATACATTTAGTACATACTGTGATGATTAATCTTCCTTCTGGATCTTGTTCTTTATATTTGATATTGACTTTAAGTAATTTGAAAAAAAAATTGCGACCCCACTTTTTTTCCTTATACTTCTAGAGGCGCACATTTTGAGTAGAAAACCTTTACTATACCATCTACTTTCATCACTCTGACGCCAGTGGGTCTCCTGAACAAATACCACTTGAATCTATTCTTTTCTTAAATAATCCTGCAATGCTCGTCTCTTTTGAGGGATGTTTAGACCTTGAATATTAATAGTGATCAATCTTACCATTATTACATACTACTCTTCCTCGATATAACTGGACTGACTAAGTGGTTCCCGTTGACAAAATATGTATATGAAAAAAAAATCTACAACAATATTACATACTATCACCAACATGCCTGGATAT